CTTCCGCTTATACGAGGGCTCTGTGGCCAAATACACAACGAGCGCACCAAAGATAACATACAGCACGCCAATAATGTTGGTCAGCACCGCAGCCGCGGGCAGTGTGGAATAGTTGGCACCCCTAAGCACAGATAGCCGGTAAGTATTAACCAAGTTATAAACAGAGTTAACCAAATAACTTACAGCGTAAAGATGGCCTTCTCGGTGAGACCCATAACGGCGCTGGCAATGGCCAGGACGAAGCCAAACAAACCGAAATATATATGCAGCGGCATCAGGGCAATCTTGTAGTTCTCCCGCATGCCCGGCACCAGGAAGGCCATAAATCCAGCCACATACTGCAGACAGAAGATGATCACCGCTGACAGGCCCAGCCACGAGTGCAGCGAATACATATTGGGTATGGGCGGATCGACCAGATTATGCGAATCGAATACAGTCTTCAGGGCAATCACCGTTAATACGAAGGCGGCCAAGTGTATGCCAGCGTGGGTGAGCTTCAGTGTCTTCTTGCGCGTGGTGCGAAAGCCGCGATAGACGAGTATGGCTAAAAAAAGTGCATGGAGTGGTCCGTTAGTGGCACCTTTTCCGGTCCAACAGCTACTCACAATTGCCATATAAATAAATAAAGCCAATGGTCATAAAGAGTGGATGCCAGTTGAACTCCAGCCTGGGATTGTCAGTGCCGCCCAGGCCACCAAAATGCTGCCCGATCCAGGTGCCAACCAGCACAATCATCGTCAGGCCGCACAGCTGGGTCAGCACATAAAGCACCTTAAAGTTGATCAGCGCTGGATCCATATTGGACTTGTTGTCGCCTAATATAAATTAATAGCATTAAGCAAATTAAGTAAGAGAGGTCGAGTAGGAGATACCACAGACAATATAAACATTAAGAAGACGCATTTAAATGCGAGCCAACATTTTTTAGCCTGCCTTTTCATCTGGCTTTTTTGCATTTTGGAGATACCCCAAATTGATAATTAACCATTTTCTTTGACCTGAGCATTAGATGGGAGAACTCTAGCTGATCGAGAATTTATATACTCTTTGAGGTCAGAGATTTATTTAATGGGTACAGAACAAAAAAAAACTATTTCAACTTTTTACGGCAATATTAAAAATGTTGCAAAAAATGTATATTCATGAAATGACTCATTTTGTTTATTGTTTATTTTTATCATAGAAAATCGAGAGTAAACCAATTTTCTTCTCGCTGATTTTCTAGTCTGCGTATATAGCTGACACATGATATCATAGCCAATTCAGTTTATTTCAACAAAAAGCCAAACAGCAACAAGTTGTAATTCCAGCGATCTACCGATAAACACAGCCTCGTTTAACAGCGTCGCCGGCAAACTGAGAAGATGTCTAAACAAAGCACCAAGCACGTTCTGATACGGAGTATGTGTGTGTCTGTACGATTACTAGATTACGCTCCCTCCCTCTATATAAGCCCGTAGACCGGACTATCCTATAATACTATATGCTTGCCGCACCTGCTATTGTAATTGTCTGTCTAACATTATAAGACGTGGAGCAGCCCGGCCTGTATCTCGGCTACGAGCTTCTTATCAGCACTCCATGTAAACATTGTCTAGAAGCCGTTCTCCACAATCTTCTGTAGTGGCAAAATGATACCAAATCGCTTTAAATAGCATTGTTCAGCGTGTATATATTGTTTGATGTTTGCAGAGATGAGGGGAAATTGGAAAAAACAAAAAAAACGAAAAAAAAGAATTGCAAATGAATTAAAAATTTCTGCGCTTCTTCGATAAATTGAAGTGTTCTCGTTTAAATTGAAGGGGGCAGGGTATGTTTGGCATAATAAGACAAGAAAGAAGACAATCTACGCACGCCGATAATTAAATACGCTTGGCTTGGAAATGCTTTCATACGAAAGTTCTATTTCCGATTATATATATAATATATGTTAATGTTAAGAGTATGGTGGAACATGAATTTTCAACCGATTATTCGAGTAAGATAAATAACAGAACTAAATGGAATGTATGCAATATAGGACCCAGGTCACAGAAGAACAATAGGTATACAAAGGTGTGTACTCTATAGTAGCCTAGTTAAGAAGAACCTTGGGGATAGCCATGTTCAGATAACGTTAGTTTTTTTAACATTGACTTATCAGTCGCTTGAATTGAAGTTTTTTTTTTTTGTCTTATGCAAATGAGTTTTGTTTCTTTTTTTTTTAATTGTAGCAAATTGCAAATAAAGTCATGAATAAACTGAGATAAGTGAAATGGGGCACACGCTGTTTTTTTCTTGTTGCCACAAGGCACGTGCCACACAGTTATACAACCAACAAATTTTGGGGCTCGATATTTTCGGGCATTGAAATGAAGAGCCCCATTTGAATGATAATTAAAGTGCACATTATAATTAATAGACTGTTAGTTAAGCAGGCGTGCTGCAGTTGGATTGTTGCTATTTGGTGACCAGCAAAGCGTTGCAACAGATCGTGCGCAAAATTTGAAGGTAATGGGCAAAAGAAAATACAAGCAAGAAATAAATAATCCGCATAAAAAGTAAAACTTTTTGAAGATGCGACGACGATGACTTTGGAAAAGCGTAAAAAGTTGAAAACGGCAAAAGTAAAATAAATAAAGCGGCGCAACATAAAAAAAAAGCTGAAATGCTGAAAAACTAAAGTGAAATTTAACTTGGTGCGAATGCGCATAGATGACTAGGCAAACACAGAGCAGCGAGGAGGAGTGGGACACGCAGATAAAGGAGGAGTACGAGGATGAGCAATAGTAATGCATTTGCAATGCACTCTTTCGCGCCGCATACTTCTCTCTCTCTCTCTCTCTCTCTCTCTATTACTCTCGCTTCCCCTCTATTTCTTCTCTGCATGTGTGTGTGTGTTTGCTTTTCTTTCTTTATACACCTGTCCGTCCTGTTCGTCCGGCTGGCTATTGTATGCGTTTTATTATAACTTTTACTAATTCGAAACTAAAACGTTGAGCCGTGAGTTGTTGTTGATTTACTTTGAAAGCCAAAGCCAAATTCTCTGCTGCTGTTGTTGTTGTTGTGGTTGTACCTTTATTTGCGGTCGCCTCGACGACGGCGGCAACCGTTGGCTGCGCTTGTTCTGCTATTGTTGTTGTTGCTGCCACTGGTTGCTGCTTTTGCTCCTCTGCCGCTTTGCTGCTCTTATCGACATTTGTTGTTGGTATTGCGCCCGCTGCTGCTGCGCCTGCTTTTGTTGTTGTTGTTAGTTCGACAACAGCAACAGGCTCAGCTTTGACTTCAATCGAAGTCGTCGTCATTGTCGCCTGCGCCGCCTGCTCAACATCTAAATCCTTTGACATTGCGTGTTCACTCTGCACTTAAAAATCAATACACGAATCGCTGGCTAATTGCACTTGCTAACAACTTGTCTAGTGTTGATTTGCATGCAATTGCGTATGATTAACAGTAACTCGAAAGACACTAGCACCGAGACACTACACGAAACAACAACAATACAACGAAAATCACAACCGTGCACCACCAAGTGCAATGCGCAACTGAATTCAGAGCAGGCGCTTTGCACAGAGTCCGCAGCGACGAAGCGACGCGTCGCGACGTTGGCAGCGGAGAGCTTTAGCAGCAACAAAATTACTCTCATGCGAGTGGTAGCTGTTTAAAAAGCTTTGAATGCGTATGGTCACGTATGGTCACAAAGTCTGGTAATTGTTTAACTAATAGTTTAATTTAATTTTTTTACTTAATGCACATTTGAGAGCGAGCTGTGTTGGCTATTGGCTAATAGAAATTGGCATGCAATTGGGCAGCTCAACCTTGTTGTTGTTGTTCATATGCTAGGCATACGCAGCAATGACCGTGGGGGGGGGGGGGGGGGTGATTGGTGTACATTCCTTTGACTTTATTGAAATGGAATATTTCTGAGCTGCATTTCAATTGAGGTGTCGGCTAGCTAATAACATGTTCTATGCATAATAATTGCACAAAGCTGCTGACCGCACATACACACACACACATGCATAACACCCACTCTTGCCGTGACTTACCCAGCGAGAACAGCATGGCGTATGCTTAATAGAATTTCGCTTGTTTCCTCTTTGCTGCTGCTGTTTGTTATGAATTTTAAGCGGCGTCTGTGACGGCGTGCGATTCGAAGACTTTTATTAAAAAAAATATTAACTTTCAACTATTTTTATCTGATTTCTCTTGCAGCTGTCTTCACTTGTTGAACAAATTGCGTTATTTGCAGGATGTCGCCTAGTGAGCTAAGGGTGTACTTAAACTCGACCATATGGAAGCACCGAAAATATCTGCAAAGGCAGCGACGCCTACGCATTTCCCCTGAAAAGCGCCGCAAGCTGTGCGAAAAGCTTTCACGTGAAAGCTCTACGTATCTAACGCAGCACAAGCTTCATTCAATACATGCACACAATCTCTGCCAACCACTTGTTGGATATATTAATGATACACTCATTCTTTTGTTTATATTGCGACTTTTAAACATGGCTTCAAATTACAAAATATAACTTACGGTATTGTGTGCAAATCCGCTGAAAGGTGCACCAAGCGCCACGTTATTTATTGTTTTTGTAGAGCACGCGACTGCCGAAAACGAAAACACAAGAGACGACGCGAAATTAACCACAACTGAACGATCCAAGCAAACCACAACAAGAACGGCAGCTTCGCATCGTCAGCGCAAACGTCGGCGTCGGCAGAGAAAGCAAACAAATGAGATCAAACAAACAGCAATCATCGCGCGGCAATGCCAATGACCGACTATCAGCTAAAGGCACCAGCAGAATATGGCAAAAAAGGCCACAAGTTCAAGGTTGCACTTTCCTTTAATCCGCTTAGTAATCTATCTTTCTGGCCCGACATTTTGCATTGTAATTATTGTTTACTCATTTGGAAAAAGGCGGCTGTATCAAATATCAGCTGTCTATAGAGATGAACGATATATTTGTGCACCTGCATAAATACTATCGCGACTAACAGCTAACTATCGATTGCTCAACATATCGATATCCCTATGATACTGACATCTCTAACGGTTAGCAACAACACAAACTGCAGTTTAATTTAATTTTAAATTTATTACAACTAAATGCACCATGCTTTCCAATCTTATTGTGACCAATCAAAAGGTCATTCTTATAATTGGTAAGCAAAACCAAAAGGACGCCAAAACACAGTGTTTATTATAATATTTTTCAGACCAACTAAATCGCGAACGAATCGCGCTAAAGTTCATTGGCAGCCTGCTTCACGAGCAGGGTGAGGGCAAGGAGATTAAGACATTGCCAATTGGCACGCAACTGAAGCACGTGGCCAGCTTCGAGACGCTGCTAAACGAATGCAACAACAATAATAACAATCAATTAAACCAATCAGAGCCAGCAACAAAAACTGGCTGCAATATCATACTGCCAACGCTGGCAGATTTGCTCTGCTATCAGACGCCCGCCTATATCTTCGACTTCATCAATAAGTTGCGGCGCTCCGAGCATGTGCGTCGCGTGTTCTTGTGGGCGTCACCGCAGCACTTGCAGCACCCGGACGCTGACTACATACTAGCCGGGTGTGAGTATCTGTCGGAGTTGGTGCTACGACTAGAGACGGATACAACGTTGTCGCTGATATCGCGCAAGCCGGGCGGCGGGGTCACCAACAAACGCTTCACGTGCCTAGTCAGCAAGACAGAGTTCCAAGTGACGCCACTGCTGGACGCTGGCGAAACGATTGCTTTAGCTGCTGCAACAAAAATACAGCCACATGATGAAGCCGTAAAATCATCTGATCCTGGCGGAACCTTCAAGATCGAACTGGACGAGGATGAAGTTGTAGCGCGCAATGCGCTCACATTGCCATATGAACGGTTGGTTGGTTGCGTCCTTGATGAATTATTTGTCTCGTTATATGTCCCTTCTATTGCAGCACCAGCGAAACGGCTGAGGGCAACATCATCTACACGCCAGATGCCGATGATGATTTCGATGATGAGGATCCGGATGAGGATCTGTTAATCTAAAATGTGCTCGCACAGCAAACGGCAGTACAAATGGCCTTGGCTTTAAATATTTAAGTCTAACATACAAATATATAAAATGCATATAACAGTAAGCGAGCTCAACAATTGAAATTCCGGCCAAAATGAAAATGAATCTTATAGTTGCATAGTTCAAAGTTTATACTACATGCTAGAGATATATATGTATGTCCAGTGTTACAATTGCATCGCATAGTTACTTAAACCCTAACAATTTGTTTGTAATACTCTTTTTAAAAACTTGCTCACACTCACTTTCACACTACAAACGATCGCAAGTCCCAATCTCATTCTCATTTTACATATATCACAACATTCTATAAGAAAAAAGATTTTAAGGTGCGTTAAAAATTTGTAGAATCTGAATTAGAGAAGTTCGAATGTGGCAAAGTGCGAAAAACTAAACACTTAAGATTAAAACGGTAAATCCGATGCGGATGCCCTTGCATAGGCTCAATCAGTAAACTGAATTATAATGGACTATACTATATAACATAACATTGTAGATATTCTATCTAGTCAAACTTGTTATTATATACATTTTCACATTAATCTCAAAGTTAGGCTCAAAAGAAAAGGAAACAAATCGGTTTCATTCTCCATAAGGGACTTGAAACAGTCCCATAAAATTGTTAATCTCAGGCTACTCACATAACGCCAGATATAATACTAAACAATTATTTACTGAAAGGAATACATAGAAGCGTATGCAAGGGCTAAGTAGACAATCGGCTGCTTTTAGGTTTGTGTGCGTTGAGCATAATATTGCAGATATCTGAGTTTAAAATTCTTATTTGAACTATGACATTTAAGTATTGAAACGAATAGTAGACAGATGGTTAAAAAACCAACACACAGACACATGAGGACATTCACAACTATTTACACAACAAAATGAATAACTAAAAAATTATCAATGGTAGCGTTTTCGAAAATGGCTATAACAACATTATATGACTCTGGCCTATTGTCAACGCTTGAGCAGCGCGTCCATATCGCTCTTGGGGTCCGCGGCCAGGGAGCTCCAGGCGGTGTCTCGACATAGCGGCAACTCGTGCAGCTCATTTGTTCCATCTGCAATGCAGGATTCACGCAGCTGGAAGAATTTGCCGACCAGCTGATCGATCCAATTGTGCAATGGTTGGCCAATGAATTCAGCATTAGCCAATGCTTCTTTGCGCAGCGCAATGACGTCGTTCTCATTGGGCAGATGCTGTTGCCACTCCACAGGCAACGAAAAGTCCTCGGGCAGTGACACGGCTAGACCGCCGTTTTGGGCCCGTGCAGCTGCCACAGTCTCCAGCGACACACCTTTGGCATAGGCTACCGGAGCGACTAGAAACTTGAGCTGCGCATAGATGGAAGTGCGTCCAATTAGCTTGGCTGTCCATATGCCCGGCGTGAGAGGATGCTTGAGCAGCGTTTTGGAGTGATTGATAACATCGATTTGGGACTCCTCCACATGCAGCTCATTGAAGTCCTGCAGCCGACCCAATGGGTCCAGCCAGAGCAGCGTCAAATTGTACGAGTGCGATGCATCCTGTGTGGCAGACACACCCTGATATGTGTAGCTCAGCAATAGGTCACTGTGTGGTCCCAGTAGCTTGGCAAAGTTGCGCGCCACCTGCTCCTTCTGATCGAAATCGGTGGAAACCTCAAAGTTTCGTAGGCGCTTGCTGAAACGTGTATTTTTTGCGACTTTGCCGTGCTGCACGGGTCGCACGCGCGTCTCCAGATGCAGCTCCCTTGAGCCATTTCCGCGCAGCACGCTGTAGCGTACCAAAAATCCCTTGTACTGATCCCGATGCAGGTAATGTGTCAGCTCAAGCAGCTGCAGTGGTTGCAGTTTGGCCTGTTGCGCAGAGAGACGCATCAGGCTTTCGCCAACAGTACGCGCCAGATCATCGCCAGCGCCATGCGCATCCTCGTGATGATAGAGCGACTGCCAGTAGCCATGCAGATTGGCATATTCGCTGGTGTACGGCCCGTAGAGCCACTCCTCTAGCTGCAAAAGCACCGCCTGATTGATAATCGGCTCGAATTTGCGCGCAAAGAATAGAGACTTTTGTTCCGTGGCCAGCAGCCGCGCCCAATCCTCGGGCTTAAAGTCGTTGGGGCTGCAGCCGCACCAGTCCACCACATGCTTGTATTGACATTTGCAGCCTTGCTTGCGCTTCCAGTTGGTCACATGCAGATTGTTGTCCACATAGCTGTGGCAATGCTGTGTGTTGCGCAGCACCGTGTGAAAGAATGATTCGGCTGGCAGTAGTGTGTGTCGAAACAGTTGCAAGAGTGCCTGCAACAAGGTATCATCCTTTGCTGGATTTGTTACGTAGGTGACAAATGGACGGGAGAGTGCCACCCAGTCGCTACCACCGTCCACCTGTATGCCGGCAGGCAGCTTGCGATCGCCTATGCGCCACATGTGTGTGTCGCACTCCACGAAGGTCTTGTCCAGGCCCTGCTTCTGGATAAAACGCTGCGTCTCACGGCCATGGCCCTTGACAAAGTTGCGGTCGCGATTGGCGCTCAGAAAGTCAACAAGCTTGTCCAGCGTCTTGACAGGAAAATCACTTTCACTCAGATTGATGACAAAGTCCCACTCCCAGTTGGACTGCAGCAAATCCTGCATACACTGCAGCAGCATGGTCAGCAGCGAGGCGCCGCCCCAAATTGTCGAGAAGCGCTTGCGTGCTAGACGTATATTGGGAAATTTGGGTTCCAGTTCCAACAATTTGCGGTAGAGATAATCCTGGCGCTGTGAAGTTGGAAAAGAATCTTTTAAATAAATTGATAATTGATAGCTAAAGCTTGTTAAATGCAGTTGAGGAGCTATTGGATTAAGTTGTGCTTGGGTTAATGATATATATATATATATTACTAGCGCAGACAGAATCAAAATATGTACTATATATCATCATATCATACTATTCCTATACCTTCTGTCGCTTTGTGGCACATGTTCATATACTTGTATTATTCAATCTTAAATAAATATAAGCCACAATTTGCTGCTTTAGCAGCGAGGCGTCAAATTCCGCTCAATTAGCACAAATTGTTGAACTCGCTTTAATTATTAAATCCGGCCGCGTGGCCGTCTCGCACCGCTCACTCACCGCATCCACGTGTATATAGTAAACGTGTTGGGGCGCATACAGCGCTCGGAGCAGTCGATGTACCTGTCGCAGTGCACGTCCGTTAAGCGTCAGCAGAAATGCAATGCGGACGCGCTGTTCCTCCCCCGGCGCTGGGCTGCTGGCGGCCAGTTGTGGGGTAAACTCTGCAAACAGATTCGATTATTATATAAGAATGACAATTATATAAAGAAATGTGGATGCACTCACTTGCAATGCCCGTTTCGTAGACATTCATGGCAAAGAAACCACCGCAGATTTCCTTGGCATTGCCCAAACATTTCATGTTGCAGCTGGAGTCCGGCAGTTTGGCGGAGCTGGGCGGAGTGTCAAAGCCGCAGAAGCATTCGCGTGCGTATTGTACGCCTGCATACGGATAACCAGATTGCAGGCAGAGCTCGACACAGCCACTGGGTGAATTGGACGATTTGAAGCTGGTAAAGTAGCCGGCCAGTAGGCGCGATTCCTTCTCGTCGCGATAGCAACCCAGCGAAACATTGGCCGTGTGGTTGCCCGCGGGACAACTACTCTGTAGATGTGTGGCATAGAAGCGTCCAGCTTGTATGGCACAGGCTATATGGGCGATATGTTGACGGCAGTCTTTCGTCTTGGCACGCTGCAGTGCCGATATTGCTTCCTTGGCATTGATATCACATTCGGGCTCAAAGCCCAATTCCCTAGAAGTGAGGCGGGCGCTCTTTCCGGCCGCCTGGACATGAGCTGGTGGCGCTACAGGTTCTGGTGGCGGCGCCTCCGAGTCATGCATATCGCGTTGTGTGCGCCGTGTCCCAGTCAAATCAATGTCAACTGATTTGTAGGCCAAAAACAGCTGGATGGCAATGATGAAAAGTAGTATTAAGTAGAATACGCGGTAGCGGCGCAACCAGCGCATGGATACAGACGACTGTTGCTCCATGGCCAGCTCGTAAGGTGCGCACGTTGTCTGTGGTCGTTGACCCGCGTGCTTATGCTTATGGCTCGTTTAGTTCTGTCGATGCGATGCAGTGGCATGTCCAGCGTTTATCTCATTATTGTGAGCCTTTAGTATAAATTACATGTACAAGTATTTACAATCGCTTAAATTATCTGCATTTCACTCAAAACACTCCCGCATCTCACTAAGAATACTGAATCAGTATTACAAATATCGTATTCGGGGTCCGATATATCGATACATTATTTACGATATTTGCATTTGCCATGTATCAAATTTTGCTCAGGCGCTGTATGCTGTTCACAGGTAATGTGAGCAAACTGTAGCCAACAGCAGCAATCAGTTATGGCAGGCTTATAATTTTCAATCGAAAATGATAACAAGCCCAGTATTACTATTTACCGTAGTTAGCCCATTAGTTAACTCAGAAGTGTATGAAAATTTAAAAGAATTTGTTAAAAGTAAGCTATTATTTTCCTGCTAAAAATCAGGAGAAACGCAAATCAGGTCATAATTGTCGTTCTTACAAAATATTTGTCAAAATATTGCAGCCCTGCACGCAACAATTCAGTTTGAATTCTTCTAAGGAATTTTTGCCTCGCTCTTCTATCAGCATACTAGCCAGTAAACAACAAACGTTTCCAAGAATGGTTGATCCAAATCGTAAAATCAACCGACTTTCGGACAGAGATATTAGCTTTTTGGATGAATGCGAATCGGAATTTGCATCACGCTACACAACAGACGATGCCGAATTTATGGCACATTGTTCTAAGCCAGAGCCGGAGCCGCCGCTGGTTGATAATTGGATGAGCGGTGGTGGTGGTGGCGGAGTCGGTGGGGGAGAACGAGGAGGAGCAGATGTAGGCGGCAGCACTAGTAGTGGTGGAGGTGCCGGCTATACGAGTCCTTATAATAATCGTTACAATGGCGGACAGCGCAGAGGAGGCGATCGTGGCTGGCAAAGACGCGGTGGCGGTTACAATAATCACAATAGCAATAACGAACGCGGCTTCAGAGGTACGTACGTAAATTTGTTTAATGTAGAAAATCCGATGTAATCGCTTTAAAACCATCTGCAGATCAACGCCGCAATAGATATGAGGCTTATCCGCGAAGGGATCGTGGTGGTGGTGGCGGCGGCGGCGGGGGAGGAGGAGGAGATAGGACTTCGGAACGTTCTTATCAGCACAGGAGCCGCAATGAGTCACCGCAGGGCGGCCCGCCTATGCAGGTCAGGCGCGACTATGGCAACTTTGTGCCGGCATCCAAAGATTAGCGTTTAGCTTAAACTGTTTCATTTATCATTATAACGCATTCACACACACACATATGTACATGTATATAGATGTATATTTCGATTTGAATGATAAGCCCATAATGCGATTGTAATCTTAAATGCTAAATGATGCGTTCCTGTTTGTGCCCTAAACAGCTGACTCTGACAAATCCTTAGGTTTCTCGTCTGTTTCCGCAGCCGACATGCCTACGCCCATGGCGTTAAATAAATTGGATACGGGTCCTGCGCCTCCCATTTGCGATTTATAGCTGTCCATCATATTTCGCAGCGTGTTAACATTTATATTAATTGGCTCAAAGTCCTCGATGTCATCGAAATCATCATCGACAGCGTTGTGTTGCGAGGTGCTGGTGCTGTTGCTTGTGCTGCTCTTTCCATGGAAAGACTTGCCCACGGTCGTTTGAGCCAGCTCGCGATCCATTTGCTCCATGTACGCTTTAATGTTACGATCCAAACGGTAGTTATCATCGCCGCCACCGCTGGCGTTAGACAGCGCATCGAAGTTGCGCTGAAGATCTTCCTCGTCCGCATAGTCGCTCATTTCGGAATTGGAATCCCAGTTGTCCTCTGGTATCACAAAGTCTAGAAAATTGCGCACATGTGTGCTGTCCTGCTCATCGGACTGTATCAAGGAGTTGCGCTTGCATGCCTTGCGCATCGAAGCGTTCTTTTTGACCTTGGCATTGCTGGTAGTTGCACTGGTTGCCGGCGGCGCCGGTGGCTCATCATCGTCTGAGTCCAGTTCATCGCCTGCCTCTCCCGGTGCTTCGATGCCTTCAAAATTGGACTGCCTGTCTAAGAATTGAGACAGTTGCTTGGTAAATTCTGCTGCATTCATCTCGCCATTGGGATTATATAGCTTCTGGGGGCCGTAGCGCTGCTGCAGCATGGCATCCAGATCCTCGGCGCTGATATTCAGCCAGTCATCCGCATCGCTGGGCAGCAGATTGTTCTCCTCGTCACGCAGCTTTTCAGAGCCGCTGCCCTCACCAGTGTGCAATAGCAAATCAACTATTTCGGCGCCAACCAACGGTGCAGTGCGGAAGCGCTCCTGGTTGCACTTAAAGTACTCCTTGGCCGTGGCTAGTAGGCGTTCATGCTCTGCGCTGCCATCAATGTTGTCCCGAAAGTAACCCTTGCCTTGCAAGCTGCGCAAATACGACCGCCAGGCGGGCGATTTCTCGTCCAGCTGCTCGCCAGCACGCTTCGCCTGGCTAGCCAGTATTTCCAGGCCGCTGGCTAGCTTCACACCAAGCAGCTGTTCCTTATAGCGCTCAGGATTGGCCACGGCATCCGTTAGCTGCCAGCCCAGTCGGCGCTCTGGTGTATACTGGCTATGCATTATCATGGCATACAAACATCGTGTGAAGGCCACATTTGTGCGTTTGCGTGGCGATTCTGGCGGAAAATATCGCATGGTGCGCAGCGCCTTTGTGTCCAAAGTATCCCGTTCGCAGAAGGCACGCACAGCCGACGCCACCAGACCCGGTCGCTGTTTAAGCAGCTGTGCCGCGTTTTGTGGCAGCTCCACAATTTGTCGATGAATGGATATATGCGGCTGTGCCGGTTGAAACTCCTGGAGACGAGCCTCAATACAGTTCTGTATATCGCGCGAACAGCGGTATAGCGTGGGATTCAGACGTATACGCTGCACAGCAGTAGCCATGGACAGCCGCTTGTTTTGGCTGGTGTTGGTCGAGTTCTGCAATAGCTGAAGCCCACCATTCACAATATAGACACGTTGCTCACACGTCTCCGGACTGGCCCAGTCGGGCAGAGCATCCGCGGCCTCGATGAGCAAAAATTCACCGTCAGCATCGCAGACACGTCCTATGCAATCCGGTCGAGAGCGGGTGAGCTCGCTCAAGAGATAAACAATGAACCACTCGTCGCCAATGTTGTCGCCGTAATGCGTGACGCCATGCAAATGGGGCGGCAGCACACCTAAAATGAGCCCAATTGTTATAGCTAAATATAGGCGCATAAATAGTATGTACTTGCCCGCATGCTCTTCCTCCTCCTCCTTGTTGTCTTCCTCGTTGAGCAGGCGTTCCTCGGCGGTGCCCGTGCGTGCTAGCAGCTGAAATTCATCCTTATGCCAAATATAGCAGCGTTCGGCGACTTTCTTTTCCACAATGGACATGCAGTCCGCACGCACTAGCTCCAACTGCTGACGCACTTGCTCCTCATCGTGCTCGGGGCCGTCAGTTAGTTTGGGAAATATATAGTACTCAACAAAATCATCCTCGCGTACAAATTCCAAATTGGCACCTGGCAGTTTATTCATTGTCTTTGTTGTCTGCCTTTGTTTTGGTTTCGGTTGGACGTGACTCAGTCTCTGCTCAACAGCGTGTGTATCCCTTGTGGGCACTGTTTGTTGCCACAAAAAAGAAAAAATTTTATGTCCTCACGAAATACTTAACAAATGGCACTTTTGCTGAGAGTTACAACAGTTTTTACGCAAATTTTCATTTATTATTGGCGAAATAAACTTTTTTATTGGAACGGGAGCTGTTGCTGAGGCCACTCACAATGCTATCGACAAGTTATCGATAAGCGGTTATCGATATCAGAGTTTTAATAAATGAACTTTCTCTTAACGTTTATTCTTACTTGAATTTGAAAAAGGGACAGCAGTTATTTTAATGTATTGCGCTTAAATTTTAAACTTAAGATGCATATAAGTACTAATTTAATTTTTTGCTTGAATTTGAAAAGGGGACAGAGACCGCTTTATTGCATTGAGTGAGGCAGAGCTTACATTTTTAGCTTACTCGAGATACATAGATGTATAAACATAGCTCTTGGGCTATATATTAAATGCTCTTTGAGCTTCCTACTGTCATATGGAATACATAAGGCTTACATCAATAAAAGTAATCATATTTCTGTGCATGCTGCAACATCACCTCCATGGATTTCTTGCCCTGTAGCACGCCATTGCGCTCAATGTAGTTCCAAATGGAAGCCATAAATAAACAAAATAGTATTACGCCAAATACAATAAACTTGAGCAACAGATAAATGGTCTTTAGTCCCACCGGTGGTGCATACTCAACGAGCAGAACTAGCAGTACAAACAGAACAGTTGCTGCACTATAATATAATAAGCGGTCGGTGTTTAATTGCAGCAAGGAAGCATCGCACAGAGCCAGTGCCTCGTTCAACGCTGCCGTGCGTGCAGCAGGCAAGTGGTGAGCATTGATCGAAGAGCTATTGTTCTCGTTCGTGGCAGAAGCAGTGGCATGAGCATCTTCTTTAATCGCATCCCCGGCGCCCTGATCCTGTAGCGCACACACTTCTTCAAAAAGATTGCACTCCACATGCTCCGTATTAACGGTTATCTCTTCATCTGATTCGGTTTCTTTTGGCAAACGGATTAGTCTTAACTTGGCCAGCACAGCTTCGTGATCCGAGAAGCTGAACTTTTGGCCAGGTACGCGTTCCGGAAATGGTAGAGTATATTCGACAATCTCCGCGTTGATATGATCTGCGCCCCTTACAAATATGTGGTCAATCCGTATTCCCAGCGGATTTTTGGCCAGCGCACTTTTCGATGTGTACGAGTTCCTGCCACACTCGTTGGTGCGAAACGAGTCCGAGGCACAGCTGTCTGTCATCTTAGAGGTATAGAGCAGCACCTTATACGAAATGTCTTGAGGTTGTGTATTGAGATCACCCGCCAATATTTGGAGCACCGAGTTGCCGCGAGTAGCCTCTATAAATTGGGCCGTGTCAAAGGCTTGAATTACACGATGTGTCTTGTATTCATCATTGTCGTTGTCGTATTCTGCATGCAGATGCGCGTTATAGAGGTGAACGATTTGGTCGCCAAACAGGATGCGACAGAGACCCACACCCTTGCCGCCAAACCAGTCGGCGTGTTGGATGCGATGGAAGTAGCCGTTGACGGACCAGGCGTGGAACAGCGTGCCCAAAATTGGATACTTGGAGAGCACCAGCAGCCCGGCACCCATGACACCGCTGTGAAAGTAGTGGGAATACGGCAATACACTTGCCGTGCCCTGCTGCAGTTGCTCGCTATCTTGCTGTGACCATACCTCCTGCAGGGACACGATGTCGAACTGGCCGCTGCTGAGCTCCTTACATATGGCTTCGATACGTGGCGCACGGTCACGGGAGACAAATGGAATACCCCTGTAATTATAATTTGATTTTGGCAACGCAAACAAACGCCAAGGCGAATTAGTTCCAGGCGCGTGACCAAATTGAGAAAACATATATAACTCAACGCACCAAATGTTCAACGTTAGAATTTTCAGCTCCAGCAGCAGCATTGTGATAAGTTCCGTGTTTCTGATTCCCTCATTAGCTATCACTGGCGCACAATGTACGCGCGCAGCGCCGATAAGATTAAATTTTGTTTCTAAACAATCTAAGCATTTCTGCTGCAAGCAATTTGTTGTTCGCTTGAACGTGGCTGCGCGCAATTTTGACCGCAATGAAGTTGGCCGCGCGCAGTTCTTGCTCACGTGAAGTTGGCTGTGCGCGATTTTGGGTCCAAAAACAACAAAGAGCACATGAAACGAGTAAAATAATTTAAAATAAGTTTGGAAGAAAAATCAAAAAGACAATAAATATGGCACGTACCGAACTGGAAATAAAGAAGCAAAAGCGTAAGGCCAAAAAACGTAAACATGACACGCAGCCAGCGGGAAGCGACGACGAAGTGGCCAACAAAAGTTTAATTGTGGAGGAGCAGGTGGCAGCGGAAGCCCAGGCGAAGGAACAGCTGCCCCGTAAAAGTAAGCAAATTTTTTATTTTATTTTATTACAAATGTATTATTCAACATGTTTCTGATTGCAGCCAAGGCGTCCAAGCGCAAGATCCAGGCGGAGCAGGGTGCCATCAAAGAGAAACGCAGCAAACAAACAGATGAAATTAAGGAAGACGCCGCCACAGATGATGAGCTAGATGACATGCCCACAGCGGAACAACTGGAGGAGGCGACCAAGCCCGAGAATTCGAATGCCATTGTTACGGTACGACAAAAGAAAAAACAGAAACACTTGCAGCGGCTAGAGACACAAAAAGATCAGAGTGCCGACAAAGAAGCCAAGCGCAATGAGGAGTACCTACGCAAGTGGCGGGACAGTAGGCAAGATTGGAAGTTTGAAAAATTGCGACAAATTTCCATACAACAAACGGCCTTCGATGAGAAAAAGGTTGGCGCAGATATTTGGCCCATTGCTTTGGAGTATCTAGCGGGCTCAAAGGGCGCGGCAAAGGCAATCATTAGCAAACTGGCCGAGGATGCCATACAAGAAATGGACAAACAGTGTGAACAGCTCGAAGAGGAGGCGGAGCGTCAGGCGATTGTAGAATCAACACGGTATCAACGCGCTCGTAACCTGTTGCAAAGTTTCGATTAAGAATTAGTTTCTAGTTTTGATATGAATATAGCAAAAATGCGTTCTTGTTAATATTTAGGGTTTAATAAACAAAAGAAAAAACATGTTATTTATAAATCCACGTATGCCAATAGCTTGTCCAGATGCTCAATGCGTTGTCGGAGCAGCTGTTGTTGGTCTTCCTTGTGCTCCTCCAGTTTCTCAAGCATAAAATGCTGCATAAACAAGCGGATGCTTTGCTTGAACTGCTGCAGCTTGGAATTCTTCGCAATGCGCTCAAACGCCTGGTAGAGTTGGCTCTCCTCGTTGCACAGCAGTAGACGCGTCATAATTTCACGCATAAAATAGAAACTGAGTTTGTGTAATTGCATAAAGTCCACAACCTTCAGCACAGATAACTGAAGACCCGATGCTAGTATCAGCTGCTGCAGGAAGCTAGCGAAGTTGCGTATTTGAAGTTTCGATAGCGTTTCAATATCGTTGATGCGATCCCAGCTGGCAAATTGAAAGGCCAGCTGAAATTTGCGATTATACTGACAGAATTTCAATGCCAGATGCGCATAGTATGGATTCGCACGGCGCTCATTGAGTGCACAATGTATTATCACATATGCAACAGTTCGCTGATCTTTCAGTGACAGATGGAGAATTTTTTCGAATGCATCTACATAGTCGGCGGCGCTCATGATGATGCAAAATATGTTACGTCGCTCGGCGGTGTTCATATGCTGTTTCTTGGCCAGCTCTAGCAGCTTTTCCGAGTAGCGCTCACTTCCTGGTTGCTGGCGCTGTTTCTCTTGCTCTGCCTGGGCGGTGCCCATTTCGGCCAGATTGCCCGCCCATGCTGAGCCCACAATCCACCATTTGCCTAGTTTATCAGCCCGCAGCAAATCTTCCAGGGTGATATTCAGCGTAACAACATAACGTTCATTTCTAAGCATTCCCTTAAGGCGCTTGCGGAGTGTCTCCGCCAGTTCAGGATCATACTGCGGCAACTTACTCATGTTGTTGTTTTTCACAGCGTTCAGAATGTCTACCATAAAACGCAGGCGCGGATTATCCTTTAACTCTAGCGGAGATGCAGCGATTTGCGACTGCACGTTTTGCATCATATTCTTAAAGGCCAGAGGATCATCTTTGCGCAAACGAAATCCAACCGTTTGGAAAATTAGCAACAGGCATTCAACTGACTTCTCGCACAGGCTTCCCGCAAGTCGCGCAATCAGCTCCAGCAATAAGCGCTGCTCGTAGATCTTAAAGATGTACATGTAACACAGGATTAGAACCAGATTGTTCAGTCGCTTATCATCCACTTCCAGTGCGTTAATCTCCTTGACATAGCCATCAAATTGTTCAACAAAGGTTTGCAGAAAATGCGCGCCTATCTCGCTGCCAATATGCGCATGCAGAAAAGCCAGCAGTACCATATGCTCCTGAACCATGCGCTCGTTGGCGCGAGCGCGTCCCAGCAGCGCCTCTTGTAGGAGTTTTGTCAGCGTTTCGTTCATGTTATATCGGGAATTCTTCATGTAGAGCGTCTCGATGCCACTAGAAATCTTATGAAGATTCGCCTCAGACAGTCGATTGAGCATACCCTTGCATTGTTTTTGCAAGCGCGCCAGTTGTTCCGTCTGTTGGGCATTGGAACCTTCGCTGGCAGCAAGCAGCGCCCGTTGATGTGGTGGTATGTATTTCTGGCCGGAACCTTTTGAGTCCACCTCGGCATTGTCGGGCACAATATTGCCATCGGCATCGCGACGTCGTCCGTAAATGTCCTCCTTGTCTGTAAAAATTGATTAAATTGAATTGGTAAAATAAATATTTGACACTACAATGCATACATTTTGTTTGTTCTGTTGTCTGTTCGTTTTCACTATTGGATCTTAGTTCATCATCGTCTTCGTCCTCTTCCATGTCACTTGGATCCGTCGGTCCTTCGTTTTCGTCCAGATCGCTGTCTGCCTCTGACATTGGCTCATCTTCTTCGCTCCACATGCCTGCCTCCTCCTTTTCCTGCTGTTCTTTAAGTTCCTTTTTTCGACGCTGCTTTTCCTCCCATTTTTGTTTCTCCTCCTCATCGTCAAGTACAAAGTCGAGCAGATAGTCCAATCCGTCGTTGAACATTTTTCGAACCATACGATTCTTGTCCTTGCTTTTGTTTAGCTTCAACTTTTTCTCCAGCTTGGCGATTTCCTTATCCTCCTCCACGTTTTCTAGCTTCAATTGCTTCATTCGCTGCTTTCGCGATTTGCTAACTAGCTCCTTTTGCTGGCGCAGCTCTCGCTTGCGTACTTCCATTTCGTCGGCTCGCTGTATCCCGGCGTGTTTCTTGGGCTTCTTGCCTAGGGGTTCGTATGTTTCCACTTTACGTTCTAATGGCAGGCGAGCATTCACCTCCGCATCACTAAAATCGGAGGCTATAGATTCATCATCATCCTCATTCACTTCGCCCCCCAGCAGTTCTTCTCGAGTCATTTCCTCGGGCTTCAGCTGCTTCTTTTTTGGCTTTTTCTTCTTTTTGCTTGTCTTTGTCGCTGCTAAAGCCGCAGCCGCTGCTGCCTCTGCTACGCGCTGCGCTCCATTTGTTTTGTCCGCATGGTAGATTCTCTTGTTGTTTTTCTTTGTCTCCTGTTTCAGCTTGCGCTGCTCCTTGCGGCTGAGCGGCTTCTTAGGTGCATTCGCTGTTTTCTTTTTCAGTTTCACCATGTCAACAAATTCCACTTTGAAATCGAGTTGTTAGTGTTGCCAAATCAGCTGTGCACAACACGTGTGTGGGATTTTTTGGTGCATTTTTGCTGTGGAGCTTGATACATTTTCCAGGCAAAACAGCTGACTCGCTTTTGTTGTTCGAGTATAGTTTTTTTATTATTGATATTTTTTATTAACACACAATCTGTGAATTATGTCCACGCGCTGGTATCCTATTTATCAACGTGGCAATCCGCAGTTGCGCGTCTTTTTGCCCAACTTTTGGATGAAGCTGGTGCGACCCACAGAGGAGCAGCCGGCAAATATTGTTACCTTTGCCGTGTCCACGGAAATGACCAAGCACGATGTGAAAAACTATTTGGAAAAGATTTACAAAGTGCCCGTGGTGGATGTTCGTACACGTATTGCGCTTGGCGAGACCAAACGTGATCAAACCTACGGCTATGTGACCAAACAAGACGACGTTAAATTGGCTTATGTAACCATGGTGAGTGAGCAGGCTGAACTAAGGCTAAAAACTTTAGTTGCAGGTAAATAATTTTTGCTTTTTGCAGCCGAAAACCGAAGCATTTACTTTTCCGGATCTTTTTGCGAATAAAGCGGAACAACAGGAGAAGGACGAAAAGTCAATGGATGAGTCGAAGGCGGGCTTTCGCAAGTTTTTGGAGCGCAACAAGAAGCGACCCGGTACACCGGGCTGGTACTCTATTTAGGCTTTTAAGTTATATATAGCTTAAGTAGTTTGCAACGAATAATAACATTTATTTTGAAAAACCCATATTAGTTGAGTAAAACAAGTTTAAAGCTTAGAAACATTTATGATGCCAAAGGGAGTACTTCTACTGCTTCGCATTTTTGACCGCCGTGGCTACCCAGGCGCGTATCTTGTCCTCATCCTGAAGTCCAACCATGCGTTGCACTTCCTTGCCGTTTTGCATAACCATAAGCACGGGAACGGCGCCCACATCGTAATCCAGCGCTAGCTCACTGTGTTCGTCAATGTCAACTTTAGCCAGTTTAATGGAGCCCGCCTGCTCGCCCACAATGGTCTCTATGCGCGGGGTCAGGAGTTTGCAAGGATTGCACCAACTATAGAGGGAAATGTTGGTATAGAAATCTTTTGACAAGAATGTGCTTTACTAACGTTGCAAAAAAGTCCACTATCACGGGCTCCTGGCTGTTCTTCACCTTCTTGTCAAAGTCCTCTGAGCTCTGTACTTTGAAGATTTCCCTTTTCTTCGGCGTCACTGAGAATGCACGCTGACTGCTACGCACCTGTCGCGTCACATTTCCAAACACATTAAATATTTGTCTTTGCATTTTGCAATTTGTTCAGATTAAAAGTTACGAGAGTTTATACTATAGTTGACGGCGCTGCTTAAAGTGCCAGCGTTACCAACAGTTACGAAACAGCTGTTTTATTTTTGTTGTTGACCAGTGTGACCACTAGAGGTTAATTTAAAAATGCTTGGCGTTCATACACTAAGCTTAAAAACGTTCTTGGAAACCGGAGCCGGAGCTTTAATACTCTTGCAGATTTACGAAGCGAACACTAATCCACCATACACACTAACATTTTGATTATTTCAAATTTTTGTTTTGATACAGTCGAAAAGTTTGCTGTTATTCATCAAAACAGCTTTGAAAAGAATATCCTATTGTTTAATAATCAAGTCTTCATAGATCACTACACATTGCATGTGAAATTAAAAAGACCTTAACTGGAGTATAAAATACCAAAGTTTCTATTTACAAGAATACCTTAAAGGTACAAACTTTTTAAAATACCAACACACGTACACACACATACACACGCACGGACACATACTGTAACACGTATTCGCGTCAGGCATAAAAAATTGTAATATCAAAAGTTCAATTGATTTGATTGTACACTAAAATCAAATTTCAAGTGTTAGTTCTGCTTCGACGGTTTGTTTGACAGTTTTCGAAACGTGTGCAAGTGCAAATTGTGCGTTTCTACCACGAAACACGTTAAACGGATTCTGGGTGCAATTCGTGAGCACCTCTTGAACTGCGCAAATGGCCAATAGCTATAGAAAGGTGGAAGCAGCAGACGACGAAAAGTAGAGGACAACAGACGTAGCAAGATGGATGATCTCTCGCAGGGCGACATCTGTCGCGTCTGCCGCTGCGAGGCGTTGCCAGATCGCCCGCTCTTCTATCCCTGCATTTGCACGGGAAGTATCAAATACATACATCAGGATTGCCTAATGCAATGGATGCGTTACTCGCACAAGGAATACTGTGAGCTGTGCGGCCATCGTTTCAGTTTTCAGCCCATCTATGCACCGGATATGCCGCGAGTTCTACCTTTGCGCGATGTGCTCATGGGTCTGATGTCCGCGGTGTTGGAGGGCGCACGCTGCTGGCTGCACTACTCGCTGGTGGGCATGGCCTGGTTTGGTGTGGTGCCTCTATCGGCGTATCGTACCTATCGCTATCTATTTCGGGCCAGCTCATTCGATATGATTCTCTCGCTGCCGTTTGACATCTTCTCCATGGAGAATCTGGCTGCGGATGCATTTCGTGGCTGTTTTGTGGTGACTTGTACGCTATTGTCTTTTATTGGCCTGGTCTGGTTGCGTGAGCAAATTCTCCATGGTGGCGGACCCGATTGGCTCGAGCGTGACGAGGCGCCGGCTGCAGCAGCGGCTGCTCCAGCTGTGCCTGCTGTTGCCGCAGCGGCCGCACCGCCAGTTGCGCGAGCTGCGCCAGTTGCGCGAGCTGAGCCAGATGCAGCTCAAGATGATAATAACAACGGTGACGCACCGCAGGATGTGCCAATGGATAATGCTGCACCAGCAGTGGCTGATCCGGCTGACAACGAAGGCGATGCTCCACAGCCAGCGGCTGTGCCCGCTGCAGGTGTCGCCCCCGGTGGCGGCATTGCTGCCGCTGCTGATGCAGACAACGATGAACAGAACTGGAATCCCATGGACTGGGATCGGGCCGCCGAAGAGCTAACCTGGGAGCGTTTACTTGGCTTGGATGGTTCACTGGTCTTCTTAGAGCATGTTTTCTGGATAATCTCGCTAAACACCATGTTCATCTTTACGTTCGCCTTTTGCCCGTATTGCGTGGGAAACTTTATACTGAGCTCCATGGATCTGTTGCAGCCGGAAAAGCCATTGCTGCATTTTCATGGACTGATTACTACGCTCTTTGGATACTGTTGCATCGGACTGACGCTGGTAGTGCTGCACTTCTTTGCACGCGTTTTTCGGCTGCGTCGCATCTGCTGGTTCATTGGACTCTGTTACATTGTGGTGAAGGTATCGCTGCTGTCTGTGGTGGAGATAGGCGTACTGCCGCTAATCTGCGGCTGGTGGCTGGACATATGCTCGCTGCCGTTGCTCGATGCCAGCCTTAAAGATCGTAAGACCAGCTTTAAGGCTGCACCGGGCACATCGCTCTTTGTCCACTGGATGTTTGGCATGGTGTACGTCTATTATTTTGCCGCCTTTATATCGCTGCTGCGCGAGGTGCTGCGTCCCGGTGTCCTTTGGATCTTTCGCAATGTCAACGATCCCGATTTCAGTCCCATACAAGAAATGATTCATGTGCCCATTGTGCGTCATATACGCCGTTTAGTTGCATCGGCGATGATCTTTGGCTTTGCCGTGCTGCTAATGCTCTGGCTGCCAATACGTATACTGCAAGTGCTGTGGCCCAATTTCTTACCCTATGCCCTAAGCGGCGACTCGGAGGTAAATGATCTAAGCTTGCAGCTGCTTTTGCTACAGGTGGGTAATACATCCTTACATCGATGTGGCTTCTACTTCTAATGTAACATGTTTGCCTTGACAGATTGTGCTGCCCGGCTTCTTCGAGCAAACCCAAACACGCATTTGGCTGAAGGGATTACTGCGTATCTGGTGCACGGCTGTGGCCTGGCTGCTTGGCATACGAAGTTATTTGCTGCCCGCACCGGAGCCACAAGCTGCCGAGGAAGCCGAACCAGCAGCTCAGCCAGCGGAAGCGCCTGGCGTTGCCGCTGCACTGCCGCCACCAGCTCCAGTGCCGGAGCCAGCTCAACCACGAAATTTGGCTGCCGCTCACCAGGCTATAATGCAACGTGATGTGCCCATCGGCTTTCAACCATACGAGCGTCCCACATTCTTTTCCCTACGCCTGTGCGCGCTCCTCTCGCTGATGTGCTTGTCAATTGTGTGCGCCGCCATGTTGATACTTACTGTGCCCGTCTACATAGGCCGTCGTCTGATGATGCTCTGGACGGGTCAGCCGGGTGACAAGGCTCCTCCGCAATTGGCGGCTGACTTGCCTGCAGCAGATCCAGAGGCGGCACGCAAAAACGAGCGTTTGCTACGTCCCCATGAACTCTACACGGCCGAAATTGGCGGCTATCTATGCTGGATTGTGTCACGTGGCGTTGCTGTAGTGGTAACGCTTCTGCCCCAGGGACGCGCCGCAATTGTCAACAAGCTGAAGCATTGGGCTCGCGTCGCACTGCAATACGCGCTTCCAGTTTTGACGCTGCTGGGCATTTTTGTTCTGGTGCCGTTGCTGTTTGGACTACTGCTGGAGCTGGTGATGGTCATACCTTTGCGTGTGAAACCGCGCAAAACACCTATACACTTTTTGTGGCAGGATTGGGCATTGGGCGTGTTGTATACCAAAATTGCCATAGCACTCACTCTAATGGGACCGGATTGGCATCTAAAGCGAGCACTGGAACGCGCCTATACGGATGGACTGCGAGATTTCGATTTGAAATTTGTAATGCGTGATCTGGCTGTGCCGGTGGTGACAACATTTGGACTCGCCCTGGCTATACCCTATGTTATTGGCCATTCGATATTGCCCATATTCTTTACCGATCCGTACACTCGCCTGGACATCTCTTTAATGGTTTATCCCATAAGCTTCATTGTTGTGGGCAGCGTTTGTTTTGTGCTCTTCCAGATTAAGCAATTGAAGAAGCTCTATCTGTCGATCAAGGTAGACAAATATCTAGTGGGTCAGCGTCTGGTCAATTATGAGCATCGCAAGAAGCAGAAGGCTCAACAAGCGGCCGCTGCTCAAGAACTTAAGGCACGCCAAGAGGCCGAGGAGGCGCAGCTGGCGCAAGCACAAGATGGCGGCGTAGTCGGTTTTGGGGTGCGCAACGAGGAGCCATTACTGGAATTAGCGGAGCAAGCGGCTCTGCATGCGCGTCGGCGTCGAGAGCAGTTGCCACGCCCACTGATTGTTGATGCCAACGAGGAGCTGCTCTAGGGTTACGTCTACTTTATGTGCATGTTTATAATGGAGTCTCTGCTGATATATCTTTGTTTAATTCATACGCTACAGCCAGAGCAAGCCATATGAGTTGATGCCACAATCGAAGACCCAAACCGAAGTAGCTTGGGCAGGCGCTTCAAATTTTCAAGTTAAATAATTCTTCGTTTTCTTTCTTTAGTTCTTTTTTATATGTTAGCCACAATTGTTTGTTAAATTTTTTCGCTTATAGGTCCTAAACTGTATGATAATTTAAGCCAGCCAGATATAGCCAATAATTACCATCTGATTAACACTTCACTTATTTATCCTATATATATATATATATAAACCATAAACACTTTTCGATTGCTTTGTAATATGTTTTGGAATTTGAACAAAACACAAAAAACGAGAAAAGAAAAACACTAAATCCAAGTATGGCTTGATAATATATATAAAATGATAATGGCGATCCATAAATAATATATATATATATAAATGTATGTATGTATATGTAGAGAGATTACCTTGTATTAGAATCTGATACGATATATGTATGTACGAAAATTATTTCCGATCATAACAAGAATATTTCAAATAAAAACTTGGTAAATGTGGTGAAAACTTTTGAGTAGCTTTACGAACTTGTAAAAATTATATATGTATACATTTATTATTAATAAATAAATTTAACTTTAAATTTCAATGGAAAAAACAATTGTTTTCTCTGTATTGTACGACAAGCAACTAACATATATAACGTTTTAGATGTTAGAGAAGCTTCATTCCGGGAAATGCATTTCCTATAAATATAATTTCTACTTTGTTCTCAAAAGAATATAGACTTAGTGACTGTTTGTACGCAAATTGGAATGAATACCAGGCAGCAGGAAACTCGAGAGTCACGGCTAACTAAATTTGGCAGACTTGAAGATTGAAAAAATATCCTGCACAGGACACAATTTTAAATTCAGTGCATTCGATACGATTAGGCAGCTTTTACACAGCGAACAGAGTATTGTGCAGTCGATTGCACTGTAAAAGTTTTACGTACAAAAAGCATGCAGTTAAATTATAATTCCTGGAAACTTCTTAATGTGAAATCGCGACTGGATAGCCGTGTGTGATACCAAAACAACTTATTCAATTGCAGACCAATTAATTGAATGATCATTACGTTATTGCTGTGCACTTCTTTGGGCGCGTCCTTCTGCCTGCCTTTGGCCAGTTGATTATGTCCATTTGTTCGGTCAGAATGTCGCCTGCCTTTTCCACGGAAATGCATCAAGCTGTGCTCGTTATACGCCCGCGTCCTACCATTGACAATTTCAATTACGCTTCAAACAACATCGATGCAGTGCATGCTACAGCCCGGAGCTGCACCACAGGCCCAGCATATTGATAGCTTAAATACGGCGTATAGCAAGATGTACAACAATTTATGTGATTTTCTTTCTTTCATATTTCTAGCAGAGCAAATTAAATGAGTTGTTTGCTTTATGCAGATAATACTGATAATATATCAAATTAATTTTCAAAGCTTACAAAAACACATACAAAGATTAGGAATAAAATGAAATATAAATCATTGAAATATATATCACCTTTTGTATTTTCTGTAGCTCGAGGTCAGTGAATGTTATTATTTTTGCATAAATAATAATTACCAAAGATTGAGCAGGTTGTCTGCATAGCGTTTTTCACGATTATATCTATTTATGTACCAGAAAGTAGATTCTTGTTTTGCCTACCTCACTTTTTGCTTTGCTTGACGCTTACAATTCTCAACAAGTTAAAGCTTCAAAGGAACTATAAACAAAGTTCGCAACGTTCAGTATAAAGCCGATTAATGTTTTATTAAAATACTTTTTTCTTTTAAAGAAATATATATCTTTTATGGTTACCAATTTATTTAGGTCCAATTGCAAGCGCCGCCTAGTACTTGCCATGCCGCTTGTGTGTTACAGTAATCTCTGCAATGTCAGACCAGCTTAAAGCCCACAGCTCATAAATAAATAAACCCAACTCCATGGCGTGCCATTCGGCTATACACCCACAACTCCGTGCACCTTTGTGTCCAGTATTTTTTAAGTTGGCTATTGCCTATGGCTGGATTTATATAATTTTTTAGCCTTTGTTTGCCGCTCGCCGCCCATCGGTCCGCCGCCTAGCGGTCCGACCGGCATGCGTGTTTTATTGGCCATAATCGAGCAACGAGCGGGCAGCGGCACAGCACTTAGCACTCCTTAAGTTTAACAACTTCACGCTCAATCAGTGACGACAGCGTTGAGCTATAAAAACGTAGCAGCTCGAACTTCAAACTTTAACCCAAGACAGGCCATAAAATATAGCAGCTAGCACGGAATGCGACCATGCCCACAAAATGCTGAAAACTTCCAAAAACAAAAGGAAAACAAGAAAATAAGAAGAACAGGTAAAGCCTCAAATGGAAAGGGGGTGAAAAAAGCATGAAATAAAAGCCACAACTATTTGAACCTTGTTTTGTTGACATAAAATACCAAAAGTCACCAAGGGTACAAACCGCTGCGGTTCCTGCCTTAACCCTAAACAAAAAAAAAACCTTTGGGGCCTAAACATCGGTCGGTTGTCCTTTGTTACGGAAGGTTTTTTTTGTTATTAGATAATAAAACATGGGGAAAAGCTGCACACTTGAGGCTATATGTGGTATATGTATATATTTATTATAAAATTAAATTGTACTTAAAGTAGCTTACAAAATTTATTTTTTTCAAAAATTTGTTTGAATTTCTACTTTTGAATATTTAACGATTTTAGTTATTGAGAAAGTGCATTCGCTGGTCGTCTACCTACCACTACGTTTGTTCATTTTTGTTGCCCTCATCATTTTGTTTTGCTTTTGTGGTTAACTATTTGGGCTGCTGAGGCGGACATTTCCTTCTCTTCAACTCGGTGCTAAAGCTTTTACACAAATTATTTTATTTTGCGTTGAAAAAATAATAAAATATGGCAACGCAAATCAAAGGCCACTTCAATGGGCCCAAACAAATATATAAAAAACAAAAACAAGCAGCTGCAAAAAGATATAATAAAACACTTTTTGCCGTGGCAACGAGCAATTTTTGACTAGAGTTGGCCACGAGCTGTGGATAACAATGTCAGCAGGAGCTGCTCTGTGGGGTCATAGAATAAGTGCCAGGATGCGACGTGAGAGCGCGTGTACTATACAAAACCAGCTTAACAACAACAACAACATTAACAACAACAATATGACTAGCTGCTTCCTTTATGGCTAATTTTAGACAATTAATGAAGTGTTGGCTACGCTTGATAAGAGCTTCAAGTGAGCCAGCAGTAAACAACGCAACAACATCAACAACAACAACAACAACAACAACAACAACAAACCATAACAACAGCAACTAAGTCATGCAAATGAGCGACAGTTAAGGCAGCTGCCTGGCACATATATAACGCATACGCCGCGTCTGCCCCTGGTGATGTGTGGCGTCTGATAAGGGCGTAAATCCAGCAAGAGACTGCGACAGGGGCGAAGAAGTTATCACCATTGACATATGAACTTGTTAATTTTGAGCAGGAATACCCCCAAAAAAAAAAGGAAGAAGGAAAATAAATAAAAAGGGACCAGAGAGCTGGCAACATGTGAGGGTGCAGAGACTTGGCTGCTTGGTCTTTGGAATGTAAAACTTCAGAGTTTTGCTTAAGGCTGTGCAAAAGTTTGTGTAAACTTTAAGCAGGGATCACATCAAAGCCATCTCACTGTATCCTGTACACAATAAATTGCGTAAAAATGAATTTTAGTTGTGGGTTTACATATGAGCAGCACACAAAAGAAAACAACTTTAATTCTTTTACATTTTTTTCGTCTCATCAACAAATTGGCAATAGATCTGCGGCATCTCGCAGTCGACATTTGTGTTTTCTGTATTTTACTAAATGCACTCGCAATATTTTAAGCTTAATGAAACTAATTAAATATTCAATGCATTATTTAAATGGACACACATTTCGCCTGGCACCAACAACAATGAACAGTTCCAAATGCTCGTCTGTATTTCAAACGCTGACATTTTAATTATTTAAATGAATTTTCGGTTACAGTTACAACAAAATGCCAAATAGTGGCGAATGAATTGATTGAATTTTATTTGCGTTGCCATTACAAATGTGTAATGCAGCTCTATTTGAGCCCAAACCAATAGCCCTTATTTGATATAAGGTTATGCGGCTTTTGTGGCATTTTGCGTATCAATGCAAATACAACAACAACAATTATAACGCCTGGCTGCCCTTTTGACTCTGGCATCCAGCCAAGAAGACGGGCTATAAGCCGTAGAACTTAAAGCTCCCAAATCCGCTTACTGCTAACAAGTGATAAATTTTGTGTGTACGTATAGAGACGACTTTCGCTAGTTGTCACGCGCGGCGTATACGTAACTTAAGTGCATTTTGTGTGCATGGAGCCAGTCAGATGCATATTTCTAAAAAATGAATTATGCGACCGCAAATGCTACATTATTTTATTTATGATGCATTATTGACTTGGCTAAAGTCCAAGGCGTTATACTTACTCTAGATGGCCATTGTGTGTGTCTCTGAAATCTATTTGTGATATAGAAAATTCAATTTAGTATATTAAATAAATCGTAAATCCAGTGATTTATATGTTTGTTTAATACGATTGTCAGCTGATGACAATTTCTATAGTCTTATGCAAATTTTACCAACTGTTTGGTTCTGGTGCTGAAATTTCATTTGAATTTATTTACTTCGTTTTAGTTAAAGCAACTATCGAATGACAAATCTTGCATAGCTATTGACTGGAGTAGATCATAGGGCTCAAGAGGTAAGTGCAAGGGTCGTATATGGTTTTCTGAATAGCTTTCATATGCGATTTGAATGTTCTCAACAACGGGCAGCTAACCTCATTAATTTTCATTTAACGAAAGTTCAGTTACCATGCCTTATTAATATTAAAACAAGCATGAATAATCCACTTAACAATCTTGAGGAGCCCATTTGGTAGCTCAACCGAAACGTATGAAACCGAAACCAGTTCATATGTCAACTAGTTTTAGTGTTTTGAAACTGAAATAATATAGTGCTTATCGACAGTGTTCGATCAATTAACCATAAAAAATCGAAAAAGCGAATGCACAATATGACCAGCTGTAGTTGACAGTTAATCAAAGTCCAAGCGTATAAAATGCAGCATATTTCCTTGAAAAGAGGCGCACTAATGACAGCGAGAGAAAGAGAGAAAGAGAGAGAGAGACCCCATCTTGTCCTTATGTCAATCATACGCACCGGGTGACAGTTAAAGCAATTGAAGCGAAAGGCAATGCCATATGGCATA